ATTGTGGTTGTCTGGTTAATTGTGTCATCAATACAATTTGTATCGACGACACAATTAGTTGATAAGGGGCCACTCTGCAGAGCCTCAGCGGGGGTAGCTCCTGGAGCTGGTACTGAGTAGTCCCAGCTCACACCGGCTCCAGGAACCACCCACACTGTAGCTCTGCATTTTAAATGTAGTAAGAGCCGCTGGGGTTCTACTACATTTAAAATGCAGAGGCGCAGCATCCTGGACCAGTGCAAGCTGAGACTACCTCAGTCCCCGCTCGCACCGAGTCCAGCAGCCCCAGTTCACCGTGGGCAAGGGCTGCTGCCGTAGCAGCCCTAGCCATGGTCAGCCCTACCTGCTGCAAAGAGAGACTGTTCTGGCAGAAGCCTCCTCTATCCTCCTCAGCTGCCTCTGATATAGACAGTGTGAGGGCAGGCAGCATTGTGGAGACGGTGTTGGGGGAAGCCAGCTTTCAAGTCAGCTCTCCCTCCCACCCCCACCGCCTCTCACTAACATGCCTACTTTCTTTGGCTCTATATAAAGCAACAAATTATTAATACTGCAATATCTGTAAGCCATTATTTTCTTTTTGCTGTCTTTCTGAATTTCACTCAAGCCTGGGTAATGAAACTGGAAAGTGACAAATGTACTCACTTCTGAGCCCGCTTTACTTTTGGTTCTCATGGGCTAATACAACTTTATTGTACATAAGTTCACAGTGCAAGAGGGTAATGTTTAAAACCTCAAATCACCACTTCTATTAATAGGATGGTGTCTGTATTTTGTACAATCACACTTACATGAACACAAAATCTAAAGGCCGAGCTGCACGCTAGAGTACTGAAACCTTTTAAGATAGTGGTAACCTTGCAAAATAAATAGACAAGTTAAAGATCTCTTTTCTGAAAGCAGGATTCAAGCACATTTTGCCTGCAAGGTGCTTCTCTGGGAGACTGGCCATGCTGGCTTCAAATGAGTTCCCTGAAACAATTAACCAGGTGACATCAGGGAAAGTGTAAGAAGTTCTGGGGAAAAAACTCACAAAAAGATTCTTTCTTCCTCTCTCAGGCTGATTTTTGTTTCTAACTCAGATAACGGTCAGGCCTTCTAGTATTCCATGATGAAGCTTGAGCACATTCTCTACCATGGCTCTTACAGTGTTTTGGGAAAGAAAATCGCATTGGGTATGTCTACACAGCAAAGTTATTTCGAAATAACAGCGGTTATTTGAAATAACTTTACTAGTGTCTACACAGCCAAACTGCTATTTCGAAATTAATTCAAAATAGCGGAGCGCTTATTTTGAATTTGGTAAACCTCATTCCATGAGGAATAATGCCAAAATCAAAATAGCTATTTCGAAATAAGTGCTGTGTAGACACACATATCGAAATAGGGGGACTCCAGCCTTCCCAGGGTGCGCTGGTGGCCACTACAGCCTCAACCAAGAACACTCCTCTCCCTCCCTCTCCCCAGAGCCCTTAAAGGGGTTGACTCTGGCCACACTGCCTGTGCCAGCTCCC